GTGTGTGTGTGTGTGTGTGTGTGTGTGTGTGTGTGTGTACTTGTATTTGTTACCCTTTAGGACCATTTCTGGTAAATATACCTACCTTATCAAAACCAGTACTCCTTATAGGGACCAAAGACCGGTTCTAATATGGTGGAACTCCATTAGGTTTAGGGTGATGGTGTTAATGGTAGGGAAAACTTCCTGTGACGTGCATATTCTTCAAATACAAAAAGTCAAAGAAAAAATCTTTATATTTACAAAGTTGGAACAAACACATGATTTAACCCATTTTGTCCCATAACTGGCGCATTTTCTTTTGAAYTTGACTCAGCCAAAGTGAAACAGGAAGTGGCATCAAAGGGGAACTCTTTAAAAAAGAAAGCTCCCTGATTTTGGTTTATTGATGTAATATTATTTAAACTTTAACTCTTCTTCATCTCTCTGATAGTGACTCACAATAATCTAAAGAAACATCAGATTATTCTCTACAGTTTGTGTTGTTGGCTGTTGTAACAACGCTCTGTTCACATGCAGACATTCCYCTTTGACATCACTTCCTGTTACTTCACAGGCAAATATCTCAACAACTSTTCATCTCAGCAATATGAAATTTATTTTGGTCTATGTTATCAAAGTTTTATTTTCAAAAATGCATTCATATGTATTACAAAAATTTGCCGTCACAGGCACTTTAACAAAAGAAGTATTATATTTTACTTTTTTAATGTATTCTGTTGTACTGAAACATAAAATTTAAATATATTTTAAATCTATTTTTATATTAAATTAAGTTAAAATTTAAAAAAAAATTGGCCAGATGGAAGTCACCCATAGGTTGGATGTTGATAGTCCTGGTTTAGGGTACGGGGTCAGTGTTAGGCTGTAGAAGTGAATGGAAGTCAATGAACAGTCCCAATAAGGATAGAAATACAAACGTGTGTGTGTGTTTCCTGGCCTGGGCTGTGTGGAGGATGCTGTGGGGTTTTGCTTTGTTTTCTGTTGCAGAAACTATGTCAGCCATCGAGTTTCACCTTTCTCTCCCCCCCTCCCTCCCCAGCTGGATATCGATTACTGCTCGCCCAACCCGTGTCAAAACGGAGCGCCCTGCTTCAACCTGGCCACGGACTACTACTGCGCCTGCCCCGAGGACTACGAGGGCAAAAACTGCTCCCACCTGAAAGACCACTGCCGCACCACCGCATGTAAAGGTAAGGCTCCGCCCACTTTTCTCCCCTCATGAGGATAAAACGTATTTTAGTGTCTTGGCTTTTCCTCGAAGTTTGGCTGAAAATCTGGCAAAGGCCCGACGGCACCGTGTGTGTTCTCAGCTCGTATCCTCGGTGGGCCAGCTCTTCTCTTTTTTTTTTTTCTCCCCCCTCGACGAGCGTGTACATTTTTCTGTGTCTGTGCACGTAATTGAGTGAGCGGACCAACCGCGGAGTCAGATACCAGACAGTGAGATTCTCTCTGCTCTTGGCAAGAATTAAGCAATTACAGAGGAGCGAACTCGCCCGGTCGGCCTAACCTGATCAGACAGGGGGAACGAAGGGGATTTAGCTGCACAGTGAGGAAGATCACTTGGAATTGGTTATGAAAGCATAACAGCTTATCACTGTTGCTCCTGTCAAAGCCTCAAACAATCATGCATCCCATCTGATCTGGAAAAGAAGCTTTTTTTTCCTGAATCTTTTCCCGCACTTTTAGTTCCGTATCATCGTGCGCGTCGCTTTAATCTTTACATTTCTGTTCAGTTTTTAATAAAATGTTTTCTGTGGTTCTCTCTCCGCAGTGATTGACAGCTGCACGGTCGTCGTGGCGTCCAACAGCACGCCGGGAGGAGAGCGCTACATCTCGTCAAATGTGTGCGGACCCCACGGCCGCTGTCGGAGCCAGGCCGGCGGCCAGTTCAGCTGCGAGTGCCAGGAGGGCTTCAGGGGCACGTACTGCCACGAGAGTGAGTCCGAGTCTCGAACCCCGATCGCCACGCATCGTTGGGTGTTTAATGTTACAACTAATCAGAGATCTCTTTACAAATGGACTTTATTTGATTAACATTTATTTTAACTGTAAAATAAAGACTGTAAAAATACTGTAGGATGTTTTAGTTTTGTAAATTTTTAAAAATATATTTTAACACTGACGGAGCCATTTTATTTACATGCAATGCATTCTGGGTAAATGATGACGTGGATAGGTTCTTGATGCGAAGCTGCTAGCGAGCTATATCCACCCTGAAGGTTAATCTTGGACAATATCTGATGATCGACTCTTTTAAATGAAACCAGAGAGCGTTGACAGAGAGGAGAAGGTAGAAATGACTCAGCCTGGAACTGAAAATATGGATGGAGGACAACAGAGCTGCTTCATGGAAGAAGAACCTCAGCTTAGCCTGTTAGCCTTTGCGCTAGTGCCAACACTATATTGCCTTATATGTACTGTATTAGCTCGGCGCTAGCTAAACTGAGGTCCTCCATCCATATTTTCAGTTACAGCTGAGTCATTTTTGTGTTCCCCTCTCTGTCATGTGGATGGAGGACCTCAGTGACGAGAGGAGAATGTGTAGCGCTGAGCTAATACATATATATGGTGATAGCGTAGGAGCTAACACTAAAGCTAACAGGCTAAGCTGAGGTTCTTCTTCCATGAAGCAGCTCTGTTGTCCTCCATCTATATTTTCAGTTCCAGGCTGAGTCATTTCTACCTTCTCCTCTCTGTCAACGCTCTCTGGTTTCATTTAAAAGAGTCGATCATCAGATATTGTCCAAGATTAACCTTCAGGGTGGATATAGCTCRCTAGCAGCCTCACACCGAGGACCTATCCATGTCATCATTTACCCAGAATGCTTTGTGTGTAAATAAAATGGCTCCGTCCGTGTAATATATTTTTAAAATTTAGTTTAAAAATGCTAAAAACTGAACATCCTACAGTATTTTTATCATCTTTATTTTACAGTTAAAAGAAATGTTTATCAAAGTCTAATGTTACAACTAATCATGGATCTCTTTAATCCTGCGTCTTCGTTTCAGATATCAATGACTGCGAGAGCAACCCGTGCCGCAACGGAGGCACCTGCATCGATAAAGTCAGCGTGTACCAGTGCATCTGCGGTGACGGCTGGGAGGGGGACCACTGCGAGATCAGTGAGTGACACCCCCCTTCAGAACAAGCCCACACTTCCTTTAAGCCACTGTTCAACCCATGTCTTAACAAAAAAAAAGTTTATTTGATCGGGCGTTTGATCTGCCGCCTCTTACAGTAAATCACTCTCACCTCTTAATGTCTCCAGACATCGACGACTGCAGCACCAACCCCTGTCATAACGGAGGGACGTGTCGAGACCTGGTGTCTGATTTCTTCTGCGAGTGCAAAAACGGCTGGAAAGGAAAAACCTGCCACTCACGTAAGCAGCTTTTTAATTTTCCACACCCATGTAGTTTGTCCGTGCAGGCTCCTGGTATGTGCTGATGGCTGTATTTAATTATCTATTACCTCAGAAACCCTAAGATTTTTAATCCCCTCCCCCGATCCTCCACCTTGCAGGTGAAAGTCAATGTGACGAAGCCACGTGCAACAATGGAGGCACCTGCCACGATGAGGGCGACACATTCCAGTGCAAGTGTTCCCCGGGGTGGAAGGGCACGACGTGCAACATCGGTGAGTCACTCCTGTCGCCGCTCGTCCGCACAAACCAGGATTATTTTTCTTGAACGGGCTCGATCTTGTTTCAGAAATCAACGCCGCTCGCCGAGTCCGTAAACGATTTTTATCCCCCGAGTCCTGTCGGCGCTCTCGTGTCCCCTCCCTGCTTTTTTATTATCTTTTCCCAAAGTGCTGACAGACGTCTGCGTTAAAAATCTGACTGCACCAACGGCGCTCATGTTTGTTTTTGTTTCTTTTCATCCTCTCTCAGCCAAAAACTCAAGCTGCCTTCCCAACCCCTGTGAGAACGGAGGTACCTGCGTGGTGAAGGGGGAGTCRTTCACCTGCGTCTGCAAGGAAGGCTGGGAGGGTCCTACGTGCACGCAGAGTAAGTTTATATGGTCAAGATGGTTTATGTGCAGAGGTGGTTAAAGTGCACGTGTCATCAGATTTTTTGTAATAAATATGAATGCATTTTTTTGAAAGATATCCTTAATAACATATTACAAAAAAAATTCACACTGCTGAGGTGAACAGTTGTTGAGATATTTGCATGTAAAGTAACAGGAAGTGATGTCATAGGGAAATGCAGCATGTAAACAAAGCATAGCTACAATGGCTAGTAACAGACAGTAGAGTTGTTTATTTTGAGTCATTATCAGGAAGATGAAGAGTCAGAGTTCAAATGTTTCAATCAACAAAGATCAAAGAGTTTACTTTCTGAAAGAGTTCCCCTTTGATGTCACTTCCTGTTTCACTTTAGCTGAGCCAAATTTAAAATAAAACCTCTCCCGTTATGAGACAAAATAAGTAAAATCGTGTGTATGCTAATAAGTTTCTTAAATATAAAGATGTTTTCTTTGATTTTTGGCACTTTAAAACAAATTTTGTTGGGGTTTTTTGTTTGTAACGTTAGCAAATCAGCCTTAGCCTGCAAAAATAGCTCGAACTCAGTKAACTTYACAGATATTCAGTTAAAATTCAGTGAAGTAGTAGCGGACAGTCATTTACAACACGAGCTCTGAGCGCTAAAAGGTTATGCAAAGTATTGCAATATTGCATGAGATTATTATTTTAGTAGTTTGACCAGATTATCTAAAACACAGACGTGATGGACGAAATGCATTCCATCAACGAGCGACAGGCCCCTTTTGTTTAATTCCATCTTTCCCCTGTCTCCCTGTTTCTGCTGGTCATGAGGGGGGAAAGCGATGGAGGAGGGGGAAAGGGGAGCCGAGGAAAGTGGAGCCAGATGTTTCTCCCCTTTTCTTCTCCTCGCTCTTGTCGTTGCATTCCTGTCCAAACGGTGACACGTCTGCTTGTTCTGCAGCCCTGCAATATTTCCCCTAACTTTCCCGGGACTCCTGCCCAGAACGCGTGTTCTCCAAAACATGAATTCCTCTTGTAGCCGATTACATGTGAGGGAGGAATAGCAGGGGTGGGACTCAGGGCGTTGGGGTGGGGGGGGTTTGACTCCGGCAGCAATAATTAGGCGGGGAGTCCAGGCCCTGAGCGGCCCACCGTGCCTCAGCACCCGCAAGYTCAGACGTGCTCCTTCTCCGTCCTCTGCACCCAACGCTCCTACATGAGAAGGGAAAAACACAACACTCACTACTTCTTTTTTTCCCTTCCTCTTCCCTCCCTTTCTTCTGTTTTCTCTTCAGATACCAACGACTGCAGTCCCCACCCTTGGTAAGTGGAAACCAAACATTTCCTGTAGATTTGAACAGATGTAAACAAGTCGCTCCTCACCTGCATGCCTTTTCTCTGGGCTGAGAACCGGGCGAACGCCCTCCCTTCTTTCATTCCTGGGATGCAATCGGCTAACCCTGTTTTTGTGAACTCCCACGTGTGGCTCTTCTTTTTTAAGAGCGCTGCATGAATCCCTCACTCTGCTACGATAAAATGATAGCTTTGAGGAACTGCTGTCTGTTAAATGTGACCCGTCACATCGAGACGAGGATTAAGTCCAAAAGTGCAATGTGGAGAAATGGRCAGATACAGGTTTTTGATTTAATGTGTGCAAAAATTGYATTTTGTCAAAATATAATGAATTAATGCCTTATTAATGTATCATTTGAATAAACTGAAATATAATGCTAAAAACATTTTTTGAGCAGTAGCAACTATAAAAAACCTGATTTTGAGGAAAAACGCCTCAAAATTTTTGAATTTTTCCCTGTGAGCTCATGTTTTTGTTTCTTTTCAACTGGGAAATCTTAACATACAAATACTATTTATGGTTTCCTCTATATATCGATATCAAAATTATTCAATAAATTTACATAAAATTAGGATTCAGACCAAACAGTAATGTATTATTGTAATCAACTCTCTAAATCCACTTATGATATCAGAATGATTCAGGTATCAAAATGTAGATTTTAAAGCCAAGAATCTAAAAATATAATGAGGTCATTTTGACCAAATTTGACTTAATCCTCATTTCAATATGATGAGTCCCATATTAGTTTGGGGGTAAAAAAAAAAAGCCAGGAGACGTCATTTATGTCTTTTTTCTTCTGCAGCTACAACAGTGGGACCTGCGTTGACGGGGACAACTGGTACCGTTGTGAGTGCGCCCCAGGCTTCGCCGGTCCAGACTGTCGAATCAGTGAGTATTACCCCCACCCCCCCATCGCCGATGCCCCTTTCGGACCGTCGTCCATCAGTCACTCCAAAACGGAAAGTCTAGTCGGCCAATTATCTCAGAGCGTCGGGCTCCGAGCCAAGCCGGGCCATTTTGGGTGTCGCTCCGCCGGGCCGTGCTGCCGTCCCTGGGGCAAACCAGCTTAGCGAGCCAGCAGCTAATCAGCCGTGCTCTCTGACACTGATTACAGATTGTTTTCCCTCTTAAAGGCTTTCAGATGGTCACATTCTTTCCCATTGCAAACCCTTTGTTCTGCTAAGTCCGGCCTTTAGCTCCTGCATACCTGCTAATGATTCTGCCAACTTATGAAAGCTGCAAGGGATGAAAAAAAAGAGAGGAAACTGTCCACGGTTTATTTTGAGCTTGTTTTCTTTTTGTGTACATCACATCAGAGATGAGGAGGGATCTCAGCGGATGTAACCGTGGAATTAGATTTGTGTGCTGATTTGCTTAAGTCCAGTGTTGTATAAAGTACCTCAAAGTGATACTTGAGTAAAAGTACAAGTATCATATCATAAAA